ATGCATCTGATGAAGTGGGTTTTAGCCCACGAAAGCTTATGCCCAAATAAATTTGTTAGTCTCTAAGGTGCCACAAGGACTTCTCCTTGTTTTTGTTTAGACACTACAGTAAACTGTCCTCTATCAAATGTTGACAGCAGGGGGCGCTACTACACCTGAAATGGATCTTTACTGGCTCCCAGTGGAGCAGATTACTGTCATACCAGTGAAAAAGGTCCACAGTAATTATCTTCAATTCACAGCAGTTTATTGAGAAGGAATTACACAAGCGGTAAAGGGTTATATTAAGCACATAACTCCTACGTTAGACATTAAGAGCTATACGTTCCCCTTAACAAGTCTTTCTTTCACAAGCATACACAAACAGACCCTGCACTAGCCTCACACAGTTTCTGCTTGGCAATGGCTTCTTCTCTCCTTGTCTGTTCTTCTCAGCCCTCTGGTATGTGTCGGATTCCCCCAAAGCAAGGCCTTGGTTGCCTTGAGACCCCTCTGGTTCACAGTCCTACTCGAACCAACGGAGCAGAGTTTTGGCCACTTTGTTTAGCAGCGTTGCTTCTTTAAGCGTTAATTAAGGAATCCCAACAGTAATTTGATTTGCTTGATTTTTATACTCTTTTTACTCAAGGAGGTCATATGCCTTAAAAGCATGTCCCATGGGCATGTGGTAACTAATTTTTACCTACTTAATACTTTAGGAGGAGACTGCAGAGTGGTGCTAACTGAAAATTACCCCATATTCACTCCCTTATCAATCATTCACTTCAGCCCCCTGCATGATGTCATTCAACAGGGTCAAAATGCCCCGGTCAGTCTATGCTCTACTTAAGATGTTCTACATGTGTTGCTTGCTTTTGAGAGGACGTATTTGCTGACTCAAAGATCAGTATTAATCATACACACAGCATGGAGCCAGTCAGTTTCACCTCTGGCATCTGCCTGATGCTAAGAGAAAGATTCTGCCCCCAGAATCATTTTTCGCAATTCAGTTATGTCAAGCCACATTCTCAAACCATTAATTCAGTATGGCCACACAATTTGGCACCATCCCAACACGGGGCTGTGGATAAGATGTGCCAGGATGAACAAATGAGGGGAAAAGGGAAGCCAGAACCTCAGTAAGAGGTTCTGAAGGAACTGGAAGAGGGGCTGCAGCCTGGTGCACTCTACATAGGTGTGTGCCAGAGTCTTCCTCTTGCAGCAGAAGGGACAGGTGTCAGAGGATTCTGTGAACAGTGTGAGGTACATGCTTGTGCATGGAGGAGCTGCCAACTGCTATCTCTGGTGGGCTGTGGATCCAAAATGGAATGCAGACTGTACATCAGTAAAATCCCAGTGTGGACAGGACAAGATCACTTTGAGTAGCTATAATTAGTCTTTTCTAGTCTAGGATTTTACAACATGTTAGTGCACATTTTGAAACATACCTATTTTTTAGGGTAGCCTCAGACTACCTCAAACTCTATATTGCACTGATCCTCCCAACATCCCCATGAGGGGGGTACCATTATTCCCATTTTACAGAGAAGGCACAGGGTCACTAACCACTCACCCAAGGGCACTAAGTGAATTTGTGACAGAACAGGGAGTTGAACGGAGGTGTCCTGGGTCCTACACTAATGCCTTCACCACTGGAAGGTGCTTCTTATCCACCCTGAAGCTTGCCAGAACAGCACCAACGGCTGCACCCCTTGCGGGACTGGGCTACTGCAGCGCAGACGAGGCCCCAGGCGCCCTGGGCCAGCATTGTTTCCTACCATAGCACCAGTGCTTTCCTGCGATAATGGCGGTGTTCTCGTCTGCCCAGCCCAGCAAGGTATTGGTGTCTCTGCAGCAACAACAGTGTCTTACCCTTCCCGCGGGGTACCGTGTCCCCTCCCACTTCCCGCGGGGCACTGGTGTCTCCCCCTCACTCTGAACAAGGGTCACGAATGAAATCCAGCAGTTGAGCGGCTGCACTTCCGCATAGTAACGGAACGCGGTTGTTAGGGAGTGTCCGGCGCCGCGGTGTCCCGGAAGCTGTTGTGTGCCGGCCAAGCCACCGCGCTCGGGTTTCTCCCATAGGGCGCTGCTCGCTCAGGGGCGTGTCCTCCAGGGGTCGCTTCCCGTTCGGCCCCTCCCCTCAGTGAGAGCGAAGGGGAAGCGGCCGGGCGCCGAGGGCGGAGCCGCCGGCGGGGGCGCAGGGAGAGCAGTGCCCGGGGCCCCAGCCCGCCCGGCCGGGGAGGAGCGGAGGAGCTGCCGGCGCCAGGTACTCCAGGCGCAGCCGGACCGGCCCCTCAGCGGGGGGTGGTGGCGGCTCGGGGGGCTCTGGCTATCTGTCCATCTGTCCCCCCAGTGGGGCCGGCTCGGCTGCAGGCTGCTCCCTAGGCCTTGGGCCGGTCAGGCGCTCCCCGGTCTGTCGTGCAGGGGTCTTCGCCGGGGCGAGCGGAGAGGGCCCCTGCCCCATGCGGGTGGGGTCCCGGAGTGGCACTTCCCGGCGTTGTGGTTGGGGGGCTCTTTCTACCGTGTGCGCCCGAACCCCTGTTAATCGGGCCCATTTGTCTTAGGGGGCGGCTGCAGGAGCAGCAGGCTTTTATGGGCTGCCTCGTAACACGTATATGATTAGTCTCCCCCGCATCCTTAAGCTGCTTGTACCCTGGGGCTCCCAGCTTTCCGTGGGTCAGGCGTGTTGGGAAGCTGGGGGGCTCTGCTTGTATCCTGGAGGTCTGGAGCTCTACCTTGTTGGGCAGGAATATGGGCTTCCTATACCATGGAGGCGACAAAGTCTCTTGTAAGCCTTGTTGACACAGCTGCTTCTGGACAATTTTCCACATTGCTCTGTAGTGCCTTGGTTAACGATGGGGTGGGAGTACTAGTGTAGGATTGGTAGCTAACACACCAGCAGCAGGCTGCCTAGATCTGCTCAGATCATTGTTTGATGATAGTTGTAAAAATGATGGTGTCAAGCTTTCATGGGTTGTCATACCATCGCTAGCTTCACCAGCCGTGGGAAATATTCAGAAGTTCCATGTTGATGTAGCCGTGGTGGCTGGCAGATCCTGGGTATGCTTCATTTGGCCACTCTTGGCAATCTGTTGTGAGTAGGTCTTAAAAGAGCTGGGCTATCAGCCTTCATTTTTAGGCTACTACAGGTTAAATTACTTTAACATAAATTCAGCTGCAAGCTGGCTTCTTTGAAGAAGCCTCATAAACAGGCTTAGGAGTCCAAATGGTTCTCCACTAATGGGTATTCAGAACTGGGAAACAAGTTACTCTCTTGGTAGTTGAGCCATTCTCCTGCAGGCTTTCTCAATGGATTGTTTGTTTCTTCTTTAATCCTGGATAGTTGAGTGCATAATTTCCAATGATCCTGCATAATTTGCAGTGATCCTTTATTACTTACCTAGAGGCTGCAAATTAAATTAGGGACCCATTGTATTATACTGTGTACAGATGCATAGACAGTCTTTGCACTGAAGAGTCTATGGTCTAAATAGAGAAAATGACAAAGGGTGGGAGTAGAAAGAAAAACAGAAGTGCAGTGATTTGCCAAAGGTTACACCGCAGGTGAGAATCAGGAGTAGAACTTGGCCTCCTGACACCCAGTCCAGCTGCTCTGTCCACTGTCTTTTGAGTTAGAAGATTTGTCAAAAGGCATCTTTACCTGTTGGAGATTTACCATCTCACTAAGAGGAGTTTACATGATGTGGTGGGTTTTATATTCAATATATGTTGATCTTATGATTTTAATACTAGAAGTGTGTGTGATGTATGTGGCACTATACAAGTGGAATGACTGAAATTATTGCAAAAGATACAGTTAAAAACAGTGATGTGCACATCAGATGATATTAGTTGATTTAGCATGGATCTGAATAAAAAATGGATATTTAAGATTAGAAGAGTAAAATCTATTCTTAATACTTGTGTGAATGAGGAAAAAACAGCACTTGGTTTGAAAGCTTAACTATGATTCAAATATAGACTTAAAATTTATCTCCACTTTAGTAACACAACTTTATTTCTAACCTCTTATTAGAATGTAATGTCAGAAACCAGTTAACTGTAGTATATTTTAGTCCAAGAGATAGTAAAGTGTTTGTATCAAGTGCATTTCTAATTACTAGAGAGACAGGGTGTATGAGTATCAGAGGGGTAGCCGTGTTAGTCTGAATCTGTAAAAAGCAACAGAGGGTCATGTGGCACCTTTAAGACTAACAGAAGTATTGGGAGCATAAGCTTTCGTGGGTAAGAACCTCACTTCTTCAGATGCAAGGGTGTATGAGGTAGTATGTTTTATTGGACCACCTTTTGTTGGTGAGAAAGACAAGGTTTTGATCTTGCACATAGCTCTTCAGGGACCAACATAGTTACAACATCACTGCATATCTCTAATTACGCACAGGCAAAATTATATTCATGCAGTTGTACATTTTGATGCAGTGTCAAAGTTTGGGTTGTCCTGGTATTACATTTTCCTTTAGCGTTTTGACTTTATTTAAATGTATTACATTGATAAAATGAAAACCAAATAATGCTGTCCTGGACAGACACAGACCACCTTTTTTTTATCTGAGGAGAACTTGCTCCATAGCTCTTAGAAGAGGGGAGTCTCATTTAAGAAAGTTGAATATAAAGAAGCAATAGGCTGAAGTGCTTTTAAGCATATATTAACAGCTTGTAAAAATTTGCCACCTTTCCCACTCTTCAGACCACATAAGAGTGGCCTTGCAAAACCCTAGAGTCTATTTGTAAATTACTGTTTGTCATAGCCTGGATCTCAGACTTGATTTTTATCACAGTATGTCTTAATCACTATGTGTAATCACCACATGTGCAGTCTTCCTTACTCCTACAGCCCCTTCAACATTTGTCCCTTCCTCTTTGTTAAATTAGATATTTATCATGCTTTTCAGTCACAAGCAAACAGAATTTAACCATTGTGCATTTATTTCTGTTTAGTTGCCATATTTTCAATACATTATTGATAACAAGATATTTGCCAAGCTGAAGTAAAGGATGAAGTTAATGATTTTAGGAAAAGAGTAAACTGTATGTACTCATTCTGAAACCATTATAAAAGGCTAGAAGCTCTTTCCCACAGAAGCATTATAACATAGCCAAAAGATTCCTTCTGTGTTTCTTAAGGTAAGCCAACTTTTTATGGGTTGTAAGCCAACAAAAGCCATAGAGAAAACGTTGCTTTTTGCTAGTTGCATCAGTAGCTAAAGCTTTGCCTATACTAGGAAGTCTTAGCACACATTTCCAGTGTTGATGCTGACAGGTCAGGTGGTGGTAGTAATGGTGTGTATCTAAAACATCCTTGGCCATTTGGAGCCCTGCCTGTGTCAGAGCTGAACTGAAGGTTCCCAGGGGGAAATATTAGTGAAAAGTCCTTGTGTAGGAAAAATAGTCACAGAAGAGGTAAAACTGTTTATTTAAGTTAAACTTGTATACCATTCAAGGGAAACTGAATTTAAAATAGAATTCTTTATCTGTTTTTTATTAAAGTCTTGAAAATCTATCTTGGAAAGCTAAGCTTGGAAAATAGCTATGTATGTAGCTGTATCTACACTACAGTTTTGTTTTTGTTTGGTCAAACATTTTCCAGTCCCGCTTACACAATGCGGCTCCTCTGGTGCTAGCAACAGTGGCTAGTTTAGTGTGGACAAGTCTCCTGTGGCTGCTGAAGTTAACATGACCTCTAATTCCACTCAGAACTTGTCTAAATGACACTGTTAGAAATGCTGCATGGAAACCTTGAGTATGCCAGTACTGCTAATGTTTCTGCCACTGGTGAAACTACATCAGTAAATCACTGGATCCTTCAAGATGAAATATGTTATATGAACGTCAGAAGACTATTCTTGTATCTCTAGGAAACAGTTTGATGAAGAAATGTAAATTTATGGACCTTGTTCTCTGAACTTCAGCTAATAGGGGGTTCTGGATTCTGGCTTTATTTTTGTGACAGGCTGGTGACTTATTCATCTGCTGTATGTAAACTGTCATATTTGGCATGCACACACAAGTCTGTTGCTGACTTGCTGTAGATTCCCCAGTATAAAATCTCTGTAGAAGTGTCCCTCACTTTAGTAGTAGAAGAGATGCTTTTTAACAGAGAGCTTACATGCTCCTGTAAACTATATACACCTGTTTCATCAGCTGATTGCCATCCAGTGTGAAGTACTAGGCTACATGTACTTTAAGAAAGAAACTGCTGTGCCATCATTGAAAGGTTTACAGATTGAATCCCACATGATACCAAAGTCTGTGTTCAAGTCTGAACCAGGAAAAATGTTAGCCCTGTGGAATTAGAGGTCTCAGATGGCATACCTCTCACACCAAAGTGTTTTTTAAAGAATGGGCAAAATTATTTTTCTAAAAATGTATGGGATAAAGAGCTATCAAAGTTGTTTCAGTGCAGCAGTCGAAGATGAAGTATGGCCTCCTAGACAGTGTAATTCAGGACTGTTCTCTTTTTTGTGGAAGGACTCACAGTTGCAGCTGAAAGGTGGTGATTAGCCTGAATGTTTAATTATTTTCATTCACTTATCTGACCATTATAGGAACATAGGAATTGCCATATGGGATCCCATAGATGTGGAGTAACCTCTATCCCATTTTAGGTCTCCTAATTTTCTATAGTTGGAGATTGGCTTAAACCATGAAGCATTAGGATTACTACATTTTATAATAGTTAATGCTAGTCCATTTTATAGCTTTGGACATTTATATAGCTAACAAGAATATCCAGTCACTTTTTGAATTTTATTTAATTTTTGGCCACCATGATATCATGTGGTGGTGAGTTCCATAATTTATTTTATTAAACTTTTTGCTATTGTTATAAGCATATGAAGTGAGCAAATATAATCATTTACATTTGCACTTATCTTATTAACATTAACCTAATTCACATTTCCACACAAGTACAATAAATCTCATCCATAACTATGACAATTGTTTTATATAAGTTGTCTACTAATTCAGTTTTATGTAACCTGCAAAGAATTAGGAAGGCCCTCTCTCTTCTCTAGAGAGAAATAGCATGAATTCAATTTGGAAGGTGTAGTCTATAGTCTGCAGCACATGCTGTCCAGATTTAAATAGTTATTCCATCTTCTCCTTAAGAAGCTACCTTATGATTATATCTGTCTATTAGACCTCCTTGAAATTTTCCCTCTACAAATAATGTAAGTGATAACCATCTGCTAAATGTGTCTTTGTATGGGAATCATCTGCATTGCTCTGCTTCTCTTTATTGCC